GAAGGTTTCAAGCATGGCTGCAAACCCTTGATTGGTTTAGATGGTTATCATTTGAAGTCTCAGCATGTAGGTCAATTGTTTATTACTGTGGGGATAGGTCCCAATGATGAAACTTGGGTGATAGCTTATGCAGTTGTCGAGATGGAGAACAAAAGTTCATGGATTTGGTTCTTGGAGATTGTAGCCGAAGATCTTGGGATTATAAATTAGCATCGTTGGACATTCATTAGTGAGAAACAGAATGGTTTAATTCCTACATTCTTGGCAGTTCTTCCCGATTGTCACCACAAGTTTTGTATGCGGCATTTGTAAACAAATTATAGAGAACAGTTTAAGGGTAAGGCATTAAAGGATGCTTTATGGGCTGTTGCCAAGACCACTACAATTTCACACTTTAGAAGAGCCATGGAGGAGCTTAGATTGTTGAACGAAGATGCATATGATTGGCTTATGAAGAGACCTGTCATTCACTGGAATAGTTCCCATTTTCAAACACATACCAAGTGTGAAATGTTGTTGAACAACTTTTGTGAAAGTTTCAATACCGTGATAGTGAAGGTAAGGTCGAAACCAATTGTAACCATGTTTCAGATCATTCATACCATGTTGATGAGAATGATTCAAATGAGAATAGACATTATGCTAAGACAACCTGGAGATTTGTGCCCCAAGATTTAAGAAGAAGTTGGAGGTTGCAAAAATAGAGAGTGGTCGATGCATTGCTCAATGGTCTGGTGGGACTAAATTCCAAGTGGATATTGGAGAAGGTGACCAATTTATTGTTGACTTGACTGAACGTACATGTTCATGTTGGGGATTTAATCTCACTGGTATTCCATGCAACCATGCCATTGTTGCCATTAATTACAAGCAGGATAAGCCAGAAGACTATTTGGATGGTTGTTATTCCAAGGTCATGTACTTGGAAATATATGGACACTTGATCCAGCCACTGAATTGGATGTCGATGTGGGAGGTCACTAAAAATCCACCTATTCAGCCTCTTCTATATACTAGACAACCTGGAAGACCCAAGAAGAAGAGAAACAAAGAGGCTGAAGAAAATGAGAAAAAAGCTAATCCTACACAAAAATGAGGCTACTAACACCAGTGGAGATATTCTACAGCCACAACAGCGCTCAAGGAAAGGCCAAGGGACCGTTAAATGTGGAATATGTAAAAAAGAAGGCCACAATACCAGGACTCATCACAGACATCTTCCTACAAAACAAGAGGTGACATATAACCTTGTACAAAGTTTTATGATTTCTAAGTTGATTTAAGACTTTATTAATCCTGAAATCCTTTAATTTGTTTTAGGCATCAAGTTCTGCACATGAAGCATCTAGTAATCCAGGTGGTGTACCAAGGAAAAGGGGAAGGAAACCCAAGGTAAGCATTGTTTCACTTGTTTTATTTAGTTAGGGTTTGTAAATGAATTTGTGGCCTATATTGTGATAACTTAGGGATTCTTTTGTATGCATTGGATGTGGATATTCTTTTGTGATAACTTATGGTCTATATTGTTGGTGATTTGGATATTGTTGTATTGAACATTGGATGTAGGCATCAAGCACAGCTGGTGGAGGTAATTCAAAGGTTCAAACAGATGGAAGAGTGTAGAAGAGAAAGACAAGGCAACCAAGAAAGTGAAAAGTATTACCATACAAGAACAAACTAGGTTTTTTTATATTGGAATTTTTTGCTAGTGGCTAGAATTTTTTGTGAATGTTGGCAGCAGCTAGGAACTATTTTGTTTGCTTCGCTAGGAACTGTTATTTTGCTCCCAATTAGATTTGTAGGTTATTAGGAACTGTTATTTTGCTATTGGCTGGATATCCTTTTGGGAACATGCTAGCTTGTTAGGGTTTTTTTTATGGTTATTTCCAGTTGAACGATGTTAGCTTTGGTTGCCAATATATGGAACATGCTTGTTATTTGGTTACCAAGAAAGTGAAATATATTGCTACTTTAGTTGCCTATTTGGATATTGGATTTTGCCTATTCATTGATTACTAGGTTCAATTATGTGGGAATATGCATTTCTGCATTTTGGATTGCATCTGATGCAATTGTTCATAACTTAGCTGCCAAAACCCATAGAGAAATAGGAATTAAAAAAAAAAATTGTCGGGAAATTTTTGAAATTTGAAAATTTGTCCACGTGGGCACTTTTTGCTAAGTTGGCATGACGTGGCAGATGGATATCCACATATGCAAGTTTTGGAGGAAGTGGGCTAACGTGTAATAGGGTCCACTAATGCCACGTCAGCATTTAACAGACCAATGGATGGAAAATCTAACAGAGGTATTATTTTGAAATAAAATAGTACGTGAGATATGAAAGTGAAATGTTTTAAAGTTGTTGTATAGGGTTGTAATCTACCTCAAACCTGAGGGTTTACTATGTAATTTACCTTTTTTAATATAATATATGTGTACGCTCAGTGTATATATTAAAAAATTTAGGTCCCGTAAGGCTTCGCCTCACGCCTAGGCAGGGCTATCCCTCGGACACCTCGCCCACACCTCATGCTTTTAATACATTGGTCTAATGTGAAGAATCATCTTCATCTTTCATCTATTTTTCTCACAGAAACAGTGAAATGAACAGTTACAGTGGATGCTACTTTGACCATTATCTCTTGTTTGGTGATCAAGAAAGATGAAATGTATGGTAAATCATTGTTAGAATTTTTTTTTTTGTTTTTTGAACAAACGATAGTAACTATACTAAGGCCCTGTTTGGCAGATAGGATAAAGGATCAGATAGGACTAGTTATACGAACGCGGGTGTTTGGCGTTCACTCGTACTAAATAAGCGCCAGATTAATTTAACCGGTCTATTTATTTAACACGATATACGCCGGATTAATAAAACCAACCAAAAGGATTGGATTATTAGTCGGCCATCTCTCTCTCGCCTTCTTTCGACTTCATCGTCCTCCCTGTCACCTTCTCTCACCATCGTCGTCATCCCCGTCGCTTTCTTTCGCCATCTCTGCTCTCCTAGTCTTCGTCGCCTTCCTCGTCGTCTTCTCATTGTGGCCTTCCTCATCGCCTACTCGTCGTCCTCCTCTGTAACTAGGTCTTGCAAAGAAACATGGTGTGGTGAAGAGATGATTTCAATTTGGGATTCTTCTGCAACTGGCTGTTTGAATTTATTTGGGATTCTTCTGCAGTCGAGGAAGAAGAAGGGAGAGAGAGGGAGGGAGTTTGGGGGGTGCGACTGAGAGATTTGGGGAACAATTATTTGGGATTCTTCTGCAGTCGGGGAAGAAGAAGAAGGGAGAGAGAGGGAGTGAGTTTGAGGGGTGCAACGGAGAGATCTGGGAACAAAAGTGATGGTTTTTTTTTTTTTTTTTTTTTTTTTTTTTTAAAGTTTGATTCTTCCTATCCGGTATAAAATCAAACACACTATAAATAATACGGTCATTTGTCTGATACTGCACCAAACGCCTGACTAATTTAGTCAGTACTATCCGGTGGCTATTTATCCTATCTGACAGAAATAGTCAGTACAGTCCGAGCTACCAAACGAGGCCTAAGTGGATGTGAGAGTGGGCTAAACATTACAATGGGTGCGCCATAATGTAATTCAACTTCGTCTTTGGTGAGAATCGAATGTAAAGCCTCTCACTTACAAGTGAAGAATAATATTACATACCGTAGTATTAAGTTGCAACTCATCATTAGATTTAATATCTACGGTTATCAATAAAATGACGTATTGTTAGTGTTTTAATCTCAACATCCAGAGGCAAAGCCATGAAGGGATTATGATGGTCTCATGCCCATCTTGATATATTTTTACGCATAAAAGTTTACTGTTATTCTTATCATTTTCAAGGTTTTTCTGTAAGCTCAGGGTCCTAATCCAACATTTTTACTTTAATTTCATTGGGTTTGATTTAAGGTTGGTGGCTCCTACATAGTTCAAGCAATCTGCTGTTTTTGAGCTTTGAGGAAGACTCTGGTATAGGGACCTGTGGAGGGAGAGAGGAAAAAAAAAAGGCTTGGGGTTTAGGTTTAAGGAAGAGTATGATGAGGACGACACCATACCAAACTTAAGCGACGGTAGTACGTTGCTCACCACATGACAAAATAATTTTGTAAAATCAGAAGAGCATTTCGGATTGAGACTTTTAGGCCCCTCTTAGGTTAAAATCATGGCTCCGTCATTGTCAACATTTGATATCAAATCTAACAGTGCGTCACCATACATAACGAAACTTATATATGTGCACAAATCAAATATAAATTAAAAATATTTATATAGAAAAGTGAAAAAAGCAAGATGTTCTTCCGACCATGGTCAAAAGGAAGGTATATCATGGAGCAAATCTTTTTTACTCCTCTTTTCCACAAGCATATCTCAAGGATCACTTTCTGTTTACATGATTACAAGATCGATTTGAAACAACGAAAAAAGTGTTCTTCCAGCTTCGATCTAAAGAAAGAAAAAAAAAATTACTCTTCCAACTAATGAAATAATATCACATCGTAGTATGTTACATAAATTCTTATTGAAAGATATCGAAATTTATGATACAAAAATGAACTGACATATTGATAGGCAGTAACCTCTCAATATGCTTATCGATATTGAATGAGTATTCCAATCAACTGATCCGACGGAATGATGAAATGTTTTTTCTCCTACTAAAACATGCATTGCTCTCTTATAACTTAAGCCAATCTGATCAATTACATCACCAACTTTTCCACAATATACAACAGGTAAATGCCCATTCCAAAAAATGAAAATTCTCTCTCACGCTTTTTTTTTTTTATTTTTTTTTATTTTTTTATGAATGAACAAATGAGGTTTAATTGAAATTTAGTTAAATCTCAACCGTCTGTTTAATTGTTGACATGTTTTTGGAGTCCAATTTTTGATAAATACTCTGAGGCTCAGCTAGAATAAACCAAACAAAATATGGGCCCATTCTTTTTTACACAAGGTCCAAACTAATAGGGGCAAATAGTAATATGTCACAAATTGGAGGGCAAATCCTAACCAACTACTTTCTCTCTTTAGTCTGCGAAATCTGCAAAGTCCAGGCCGTCGTCTTGGCACCAAGGGAGAGCATATCCTCAGTCACAGTTGAACTGAAACCCAAAACCCAGAAGATCACTCCGACCTCCAATCGGTTAGAATTAAGATTTCATTTGTGAAATATGTTTGTGGGTTTTGTTAATTTGTGTGTTAATTTTGGTTAAACGGTAATTTTATAGGATAAATTAGTCAAAGAGATGGGGAAGGATGCGAAGGCAGGAGGAAAGGGGAAGGGAAAGGCGGCGGGCGGCAGCGACGACGGTGGAGGAAAAGGAAAAGGAAAAGGAAAATCCGGGAAGGCCGCCGATGGGCTAGGCACCTGCACTTATGTGAAAGCAAGGCACATACTTTGTGAAAAGCAGGGCAAAATCAACGAAGCCTACAAGAAGCTGCAGGACGGATGGCTCGAAAACGGCGACAAAGTCCCTCAGCCGGAGTTCGCGAAACTGGCGGCGGAGTACTCCGAGTGCCCGTCGGGGAAGAAAGGCGGGGATCTTGGGTGGTTCCCTCGCGGGAAGATGGCAGGACCTTTTCAGGATGTTGCTTTCGCTACTCCAATTGGGGCAACCAGTGCGCCTTTCAAATCGACGTATGTGTTTCCAAAGTTTCAATCTTTCAGTTTTTTATCTGCTACTCCTTTTGGCTGATTGGTTAGATTAGTCCTGTCACCTGTTTACGCAGCTGATTAGGAATAGATATACGTGTGTTGTTTGATTTTGGATTGGATTATAGTCAATAAACTCATGTTTTAGGTCACATCAGATTGCTTGTTGATTGTGCAGTGCTTGGCTGCAATTCTTATCACTCATTTCATATTTATCAATAGAACTTGAGAAATGCTAAGGAGACTCTCTACGAACTCTATCTCAGCTCAGGTGTTTGGCACAATGTTTTATAATGTTGACACATGAATTAACTTTAAACCGTGAGGTGAAAGAGAGTCTATGGAGAGTCCCACTCTGAGAGTCTCCTTGGCATTTCTCATAGAACTTGAGCAATTCTTGAAACTAAAATAAAACTTTTTCACCAATCGGCACTAAACCTGCAACGAAACACGTTCTATTGTCGATTTAGCATTCAATTATCAGTATGATTCCTGCCCAATCCTTTCATTTTGGTTTTGGATTAGATGCTATAAGATGCCATTAAGTTTGAAGTGTGATATTATACTTGTGCAGAATTTAGAGACACAGTTTGGTTCATATTTTGTTGTTGTTTGGATACTTGTGCAGGCATGGTTACCACATTATCTTGTGCGAAGGCAGAAAGAATTAAGACCTTTGATTTTCTGATGAGCAAGTCTGCAACTTTGGCCATATGTATGAGTTTTCTAGTTAGATACTGCTTTGATATTGTAGGCATTATGCTTAATGACTGATGAATGCTATATCTCTCTCTCTCTCTCTCTCTCTCTCTCTCTGTCAACATCTTTTTTAATAATATTTTTATATTTTTCCATCAAGGCAAATGAAGAAGTCCAGTTTAGTTATATGATTCAGAAGCATGTTTATGGTAACTTTCTTTTGGGTAAAATGGCAAGTAACAGAACTTTGTTGCACTAGAATTTTCCATGCTGAATGCTGTCTGAGTTAAACTGTAGTTGCAATGGCGCAAGCAAAAAACATTGAGCAGCCTTTTAACTTGGAATGCAATGACATTGATCGATTTTCAATGTGCGGAGTTTACGAACGTCAGGGACCATATTGAAACCATGTCTAAATAGGACCTATGAATTTACCAATTTAGGACGTTAGTATGATCATGCGTGTGATTGGTTTAGTAATTTTTGGGCTCGTTTGGAAGTACTTTTAAAACGATTGAAATCGTTTTTGGTGAAGGTGTTTTTGGTTTCCAAACCTGCATGATTACCAAAAAAAGTGTGTCCTGCAAGAAACACTTAAAGTAGAATCTACTTGCTTTTCACTAAGAATTGGTTGCAAAGGCACTTTCATAAAAAACGCTTTCAGTCATTTTAAAAGTTTTTTCAAATGAAGCATTCGACAGATTGTACTATCTAGAATATAGTTTGATACATGCATTCACTAAAAGATTCGCGAAGGATCTTCTTTGTAATTTTTTTCAAAAGAGAAAGGGACATAAGAAGGAAAAAATTGACTATATCAACAATGGTGCCCAAAAGAATTACTATCTCGCATTACATTTAAGAACAAACAGCTACAACTGGCCATGAGATTCATGACTATCCACTAGCTTGAGTCCCCAACTCATATCCTCACAGTGTCTCACATGAGGCACAAGTGCACCCGTATCTACTCCTTTCTTCGCCTTGCAGTCATAAAACGGTGGAGCATGGAAGCATGGCTCCATCGACATGACCTGACCGCAAGGTGGATCAGGTGTCGTCTGATTCTCCGGCTTGTACAGAATCCACGGTTTAAGACCTCCCAGACCTTGAGCCACGTACCCGAAAGTCGACCATGCACTTGTGACCAACACATCACACAAACTAAGCAGGTACATTTCAGCCCAAGCTTTCCGGTCGTGCAGATTCTTATCCGTCTGCTGATGCCCTTCGTGACTCGGCTGGAAAACCCCGATTGTGTCCCCATTCACAGTCGGATGTTCCCAGTACATATTCCTCAAATCCTCAGAGTACCCTGAGGTCAAAGAAGTAATTAAAACCGACTTAAGTTTCGGTATTCCTGATGCAGCTGTGACGATTGGTTTCTTCCTATCCACTTGAGGAAGCAGTTTCTCCTTGAAAGCGCATGCATAGATTTGGTTCATCACATGCCGAAGCGGGCTAGGCCCTGCCTCGAAAGTTCGAACTTGAATCCCAATCCTCTCATCTACCTTTGCTAAGTGAGCTTGGTAGTATCTTGTGATCAACCCCCATACATGATTTGAAGGTTGGAAAAGATACCTACCCAAGTGGTGGAAAACAGTTTCCTTTTCCGGGAAAAGCTTTTCGAGTTCTTGCTCGAAAGACGGCATCAAGAAAAGCGATGGAACAAAGTAGTTATCTGTTCTCATAATCAGCCAAGGAACTTTCTCGATCAGACTTTGTTCTTCATCGCAGAAAAAGAGCCTATCTTGATCATCATAATCATGAGCCAGATGAAGATACAAAAATGATGCCGAAGCGTTTGCGATCTTATTATTCTTTGATTTCAGAATGTTTCCGTAGCAATAAGGAGATTTCTGATCCAACGCGTCAAAGCGGTCTTTAACAGGGAAGTCGTTAGGCAACAGCCATGAGTTTTCAGGGAAGGGCTCGCAGAAGAGGTCGGCCATGTCCTTTCCAGGGTCCACGAGAAGGACTCTGTTCGTGAGCAAGGCATAGAGGAAAGCAGAGGATATGGTGAGTATCTTGTTCCCCAAGCCACTGTAAGATATCCAAACCACATACTTGCACTCTTCTGAACTATCAATGGCAGTGATAGGGTCACTGGAGTTGAGTTGCTCTAGGGTTTTGTTGTAGGGTTTGGTGTGGGGCCCACATCTCTTGTGGAGATCTTCATAACCTCTGAGTCTGGAGAGAAGATGAGAAGATGGTTTGTGGGGTGAAATTTTTCTGTAGAAATTGGATTGATATCTGCTCAAGCAAGAACCTTCATCAAATCCAGGAGCAATTAGTCCATCATGTAGCTCGTCTTTGGGCATGTGAGTATGATCTGAGAAACCATCTACTGTAAAATCAGAGCAAAATAATTAGAAAGATCGAACTTTGATCGTCACCCAATTCCACACCAGAACCAGATTACCAATCTTGCATGCAGAAAATCTAAAATTACGAATTCAACGTATGAAATTCATTGTTGAACTTTCCCTGCATTTTTCTCGGTAACCAAACAATAAGTAAGGCTGTTTGAACAATACTGAATCTTACTCATATATTACCTGAGCTGGACGAAGATGACGTGTCATTTTGAACGAGTCTTTCGATAATTCTGGCGTCGGCGAAGCCTTTGATTTGATTGGAAGGCGAGTTTTGAAGAACGAGAGAGAGGGTGACGAGAACCGGGAGAGAGACCAATAGAACAGCTAGTATCTTGGTCAGATTCATCGGAGTCATCAGCCGGGACGTCGACGGGGCGACCCGATCGGCTGAGACGGGTTTATTACGGCCCGCGGGGTTCGGTTGCGGTGAAAGTCGCCTCCTGCTTTTGGATTCTCTCAAATCCATTCATAAATTATGATATCTCGATTGGATTCGAGCATGCCATGGTTATCTCTCGGTTCGTATTTCATTAAACGAGTGCAGTTGCAGAGAGAGAGAGAGAGAGAGAGAGAGAGAGAGAGAGAGAGGGGAGGGAGGGAGGTGGACTGGGATTCTGGGAAGTGGGAAGAGTCTCCGTATTGTTTCGGCGTGGTGGTTAAGGCCGTAGAAATGAGGAGGGGTTTCGCCTGGTTTCGTTTCGTCTTCAACAGGCCAAACGTGGCAGGCGGATTGCGCATGCAGCTTGCTTTGGTTGAAATTTATTATTATTATTTTAATACAGTTGAACTTTCAAAATTAAATTTAGGGAACTTTAACGAAAAGCTTCCGGTACTGTTTACTTTAACGAAAAACCACATTTTTACACTAAAAAGTCAATCCTAGTACTATTCACTTTACCCTTTATTTTTTCCTTATCATTAAAACTCAAAGTTTTCAAGCCCTTTTCATTAGTTTTCTTTTAAATTTATGCCAAATATATTTAACATAAACAAAAGCCCAACCAATAATGGAATTAATTATGTGAGTCCCCAAATCGAAATTAACAGTTTAAAATAAAACTTTGTAAACCAAATAATGTGGTTGTTTTAATTGTATTGTTATTTAATTGTTGATTAACACGCTTATTTTACACTGGTGACACATCATTTAGTTTAAAATTTTAATTTTCGTATCATTATTCTTAGCATTATGGTTATTTTAGACTAGCTAACTGGCACACGCGATACGAGTGTGAAAATCCTTTGTGGCCTCTCTGGGGAAAGCCTTCTAGCCTATTTCTATTACATCTACTGCCATACTCGTGTTTTTAAGCTTGATGTGTGTGCCAATTTTTAATTTTTGCCACTCAATTCATTGGATTATGAGTGCATTCATTTATTTTTTAATTTATAAAATCCCTAACTGCTTAAAAAAAAAAAAAAAAAAAAAAAACCACAATATATCACCACTCCACCCCCGTCACCTATGTCAAACGGTGCCCAGTGAAACCCGTCTAAGCGGTGGCCTCATCCAATATCACACACGCACACCCCTCCACCACCTACCTAGCCCACTCTCTACGACCTAACCTCCACAATTCGATCCACCACCCCCTCCTTCAAACCACTCATGATCTTGTTCCCACACGACCCGTCCTATGAGACCCATCCCACCCAAACCCGACCCCGATCTGTAACGTTGACAATGGAAGAAGAAAATAGAGAGATAGAATGAAAGGGAAGAAAGTAATGTGGCGAGAGATTGAATTTCCAAACGAAACCTGTTATCATCACTTGTTGGTTGTAAGGTTCATATAAAAAATAGTTAAATTTGTGTTCAATAAATTATTAAATTACCTTTATTTTTATTTATGTTCAGTTTTGATTAGAAGGTTTTCATACATTTTTGTTTAACAATCAGAGTTTTGTTGATATAGTTTAGTCTGAATTTATTAAGAATTCACTATAAAATTAGACTTGAGAGTTGAAAATGACAAAATGCAATGCATTTGGAAGGAAATTCACTTGTTTAGTGCATTTTAGAACAAGGCTTCTAGAATATGACCTTTATGGCCTGGTCTCTACGATGCACTTGCGAAAAATCTTTCTTAATCACGTGCGACTTATAAAATTTTAATTTAATGAATACGTGTTACTCAGTTTCGCTAACCACAATTTAAGTTATAAACAATTTAATCGACAAACATAACATTTGTATTTTTTATTTATGTCGAATAATGATAGACACAGTGATTTTGGCATTAGAAAAAAGTATATATTCCAACTTTACATGGTAAGTTAATCAAAACACTTGATGATTTCAAAACACCAAAAGAACAAAATTACAGACTCTGTGAAAGACGGCCTAGGTCTATCTGGACGGGACTATATATATAACTCCTTCGATCGAAGATGGCCTAGGTATCTATCTGAGTACTTAATGTTTGGTGTTACGATCCGCAACCTTGGGCTGATATGAAGCTGAAAACAACTACACAGAACAATCTGGGCCAGGCTAGTCCAACCCATCTTCCATAATATCATAGAGAGGCGGCCTCTCAGAGGCCCATCAGCCGCCAGTGCCTCTGTTAAATTACAGTCGAAGCAAATGGCGGTTGAAAATGAAGCTGCTCAAGAGTCGGCGGAGGGAACGTCACCACCATCAATCGCGGTGGCCTCGATTCTCAGCAGTAGTTTCAGGCTCCAATGGCGACGCGTGTAAAAAGTGGTGTATTTTTATCCGCATTCTGAAGTGTCATTTGCTTGCGTTGCACTCCAACCCAGCAAAATCCAGACCCAGCTAATAAACACGACTTCCATTCGCTGTGTGAGGTTGGATTTTGGAAAATTGAAGCACGTAAGGTAATGTCACGGGACTGCATGTAATGCCCACTACGTGTTTGTGTATTTTAGTCGGTGACTTTTGTTGTATGCACATATATCGAAGCGGCATAGCTATTTGGATTGGGCGACTCTTTTGTTTCTTACTACTTCAAGACGAAGAAAGAGGAGCTCAACTGGCAGTTTCGAGGAGATGGGTCTCTGAGAAAGAAAAAAAAAAACCCATCTTTTGTTCTTCGTTAATTTCCATTTGGTTTAGTAAAACAGGGTAATCTACAGATTAATTCATAGTTGATTGCTCAAGCTTCTCATAACTTTTGTTGGTTTTCGTTTTTGGTTTTGGATATTGTTTTTCTCTAAGAAACCAGCTATTATTTGCAGGGAATTGGAGTTCAGAACTTGGGGTAGCTGAAAGTTCAGAACTTTCAACAGTTTTATGTAACCATAAGCAATTACTTACAACCCAACATCAAGATGAAATTCGGGAAAGATTTCAAGAAACAAATGGTGCCTGAGTGGGCAGAAGCCTACATGGATTACAATGGTCTCAAGAGGATACTAAGGGAGCTCAGAGAATACAAGCGAAACAAGCACTCCGTAACACCCTCCAAAGACTTTGAGCGGAGACGTTCTCCCCCTGACAGAACCATCAGTGGGATTGAGCTACAATCTGGCAGTCTCCGGAGCAACGGAGATATCGAGGACCAAGTAATCGATGTCAACACATTGCACGGAGACGGTTGCAGAGAGGTTTACAAGACCAAGTTTCTGAGGCAATCCGAAGAAGGAGGAGATATTGAGGCGACATTTTTCCGAAAACTCGATCAAGAGCTCAACAAAGTCAATACCTTTTATAATGATAAAGTGGAGGAGGTGAAGAAAGAAGCAAATAATCTGGATAAGCAAATGGAGGCTTTGGTTGCACTGAGATTAAAAGTCAAGAAGCTTGATCAATACGGCTCTCGTTCAAAGAGACATAACAATTCGGCAGTACACCTGACAAGTAATAAGTCAAGTGCAGATGACAACTTAGGTAAGTGGAGATATATGATCAATTTGTTTTGTGTTATATGTGGATATATATATATATATATATATATATATATATATATATATATATATATAATACATGCAGTGCAAGCATATTAATAGATGATACACTTAATTGAGAGTGGTTAATTATGAAGCTTTGGTTGACTTTAATTAATTCTTACAAATTCAAGTTTCCTGCCAAATGTGTAGGAAATGAGCCTACTGGTTTGACATCTGGATTGCAAGTAAATGAGGAGCATCGACGAGAACCAAGCACTGGTGGTTCAGAAGTCAATCCGAACCATGTCAAGAATTCTAGTAGCGATGGAAGAGAGTTATTGAAAACCTATACCCAAAAAGAAGATCCTATGGAGGTTCTTGAGCATGTGAGGATTACCAATACGCTTGAATCTCCAATATCCACCATAAAAGGTGTTTTCAAGGACTCTAGGGAAGAAGAGTTGAGCTTTGATAACGAGGAGCTGAAGAGAGTGGAAGAACGTTTAAGAGCTGCGTTCATTCAATTTTACCACCAGCTTCAACTGCTAAAGCACTACAGGTGATAAATAGTAATTGCGTCAGCATACCTTCCACTTTGGATGCATGGTCTTGCATTTTGGGTTGTCACTCAGTATTATGTACTTACACTTTTGCAAATGGTGAACCAGTTTTATGAACCTCTCAGCATTTTCGAAGATTATGAAAAAATATGAGAAGGTAAGACATGCACTTCAAACCAAAATGTGTCAAAATTTTGAGTTCCATATTCTCAATTTGAATTTAAGCAAAGTGTTGTGACGAAAAATCCATTCTAATAACACAGATTGCATCAAGGAGAGCGGCCAGATCATACATGCTAATAGTAGACAACTCTAATGTCGGCAGTTCTGATGAGGTTTGTCAGATGTATTTCTTGTTTTTCTATTGTTAATCATTTCAGCATTCAGAATTCTATTGCTTTGTTGATCTTCAAGTTCTAATCATTTCTTCCTGTAAACATGTTGAAGAGGTGTATATTTGTAAGTTATCGATTCATTTTTATTTCTTTATAGGTCACTAACCTGTTGGAGAGAGTGGAGACTACCTTCATACAAAAATTTTCAAACTCAAATCGCAGGGAAGGTATGAAGTCACTGAGGCCAAAAGCTAAAAGAGAAGGGCAGTGTAACATTCTTCTCCGGTAAGAGTAGTAACAGTGCCAATTAACCTTTTTGCTCCACCTTTTTCTAGAAATATGACCGTTGCAACATGTAGCAATGTCATGGAGTCTCCAATTGTTAATTCCTAGTTCTCTGTTAAAGAAAATAATTTAATTCCTATTTCGTTTTAACTTTCAGGTTTCTTTTCTGGCTGCTCAATTGCACTACTGGTAGCTATTGTTTTAAGCATTGAAGCTCGAAAACTACTGGATAAGGAGGAGGGTGCAGAGTACGTGGAAAACATTTTCCCACTTTACAGGTGACTGCTAACCCTCTGGTATTCAATTACAAAAATTTATCTTAATTCATTTGTCCTGTCTTTTCTCTAATATGCAAGTGGGTTTTCTTGCAGTTTATTTGGATACATCACTCTGCATATGCTCATGTATGCTGCAGATATATATTTCTGGAGGTGTTATCGGGTCAACTATGCCTTTATATTTGGTTTCAAGAAAGGAACGGAGCTGGGCTACCGTGAAGTTTTTCTCCTTGCCACTGGTCTTGCAGTACTTTCATTGGGTGGTTTCCTGGCAAACTTACACTTGGACTTGAGTGCTGAAAAATACAAGACAGTGACAGAATTGGTTCCCTTGGGCTTACTTGCTGTAAGATTTATGAAGTGCTAGAGTATCTATTGTGGCGTCCCTTGAACTTGATTATCACAATTGATTTCTGCTGCATGACCTTTTCCATGAACTATAGCCTGGTCCTCTGTTGTAGAACTTCCTCAGTTTGTGCAAATGATGTGTGTTACCTTTCTCTGTGCAGTTGGTCCTTGCCATCACCTTCTGCCCTTTCAAAATTATATACCATTCAAGTCGTTTCTTCTTCATTCGATCCTTATTCCACTGCACATGCGCCCCTCTTTACCCGGTAATGCATGGGATAACAATTTGGATATTTAAGTAGACGATATAGCTAAATAGCATGATTTCTTGATTGTTTTCAAATTTTCAGGAGACATTTCCAGACTTTTTCTTGGCAGATCAGCTTACAAGCCAGGTATAAAAGCCCCCTTATAACTTTATTGGTATTAAGTAGTAAATACTCCCAACTCTGTTTTGAGTAGGCTCTTTGCCTTTGTCTGATCTCAGGTGCAAGCCCTGAGGAGTTTTGTGTTATACGTTTGCTACTACGGTTTGGGGGAATCTTCAAGGAGGCAAAGCAAGTGCCGTAGTCATGGTCTCTACAATACGTTATATTTCATTATTGCTGTCGTACCATTTTGGATGCGCTTCCTACAGGTCTCATTACATTTTTCACTTTCTAGTGTTTTCAAAGGCGTGTGCCACTCTTATTCACAATGAAAATGAATATGGAGATGGATAGTATCACTTGTATTCTAGCTTATAATTTCGTATGATCTCTGGAAGATCACGTCTTCTGTGTGGAAAGATGCACTTAAATGTAGTGTATCTTGTCTTGCAGTGCATTCGTCGATTCTGTGATGAGAAGGATGTGAAGTACATTTTCAATGGTTTGAAGTACTTATCAACAATCGTTGCAGTTATTATACGAACTGTTTATGAAATGAAAAAGGGAAAGACATCCTGGATGGTGTTAGCTTTGATTAGCTCAGCTGTCGCAACGACAATGAATACGTATTGGGACATTGTAATGGACTGGGGCCTTCTGCGAAAGACATCAAAGAACAAGTATTTGAGAGATAGACTTGTAGTTCCACACAAGATCGTATACTTTGCAGCCATGGTAAGGTTAAAGTGACTGAATTCGAGAGTTATGGGGTTCTATGTTGCAACTTCTACTATTAATTCACAATATGTTTATGGAAATCCATTACAGGTCTTGAATGTAGTATTGAGACTAGCTTGGATGCAGTTGGTGTTGGAATTTAAATTGCGTACCGTTAATAAAGTGACAATAACAACTGTCATCGCCTTCCTAGAGGTCATTCGTCGTGGCATTTGGAGCTTCTTCAGGTATATTTTTCTCCTGAAATTCAACATTGAGACTTTTTACTGTTTTTGTCTTCAGTCGTTGCATCCTTTAAGCAACTTATGCTTGAGAGATTAACATGTACAATTTAATCAGGTTAGAGAACGAGCACTTGAACAATGTAGGCCAGTACCGCGCTTTCAAGTCAGTCCCTCTTCCTTTCAGTTACTACGATGAGGACGCTGACAAGGATGACTAAACATGACACAGTCTCGCTCCATTCATGCACCCGAGTATAATGAAGCAGCAAACCAAGAACAAACGTACGATCTGTGGTTAATTGTGGAGAATTCACAATTAACATATGTAGGCTCATTTCGTAATTGTACATATGGAATCGCCTTGTTCGTTGTTGATCCTGAAAAAAATTCTCTGGTTCTGGTTTATAAGAAATTGCATATAGCGAAAGTTGTATTGACGAGTGCATCAATTTTTCGATCTGTTAATCAGTCATAGGAGTATAATTTTTTCAAGGCGATTACATTACGTAAAATGTAACGAATTCCATATACAAATTTCCCAAAAAATCAAAGGAAAAAAAAAGAACTACAGATGCAACTCTGCATTCAGCAATAAATGAAGGGAAAAGGGGGAGGAAAAAGAAGAAAAGTTTCAGCAGCCTGTAGACAATTTGAGATGTTTGCGATTTGCTTTGCCTACTCATCTTTGCATTCGTCTTCATCATAGTTGAAGGGCAGTGGCACTGACTTGAATGCTCTGTACTTTCCGACATTGTTGAGATGCTCGTTCTCCAACCGGAAAAAACTCCATATCCCTCGACGAATTATCTCCAAGCTCGCCACAACCGAGATCATTGTCTGTGTATGCATGAAGGAGACACTGAAATTCAAAACTGTCTGCAGCCAGGCAAATCTCAGCAGCACATTCAACACCTGCAATGTTTTAATCATTGTATAAATCGCTAGTAAAACTATATACTGTCATACTGTGAATCTGAACCACTAATCAAGAGCACTCACCATGGCTATGAAGTATACGCTTTTGTAAGGGACCAAGAGTTTGTCTCTCAACCATCGATTCTTGGAGCGGCGTTGCAGAAGTCCCCAGTCCACGACAAGATCCCAGTATGTTCCATAGATAGCTGCAACAATTGAGAAAATCCCAGCAAGAATTTTCCAGTTCACGTCTTTGTTATGAGTGTAGGCTATTCTCATGCTGACAGCTACGATGGTGAAGAAATATTTCAGTCCATTGTAACCTTGCATTGGATCTTTCTCTTCAACCAAACGGCGGATGCACTGAAGGAGGCGGGACCAATATGGAACGCACGCCACGATGAAAGTAAAAATTTTGAAGACGTCATCTGATCTGCAAGTTGTTTTTCTGACTTTGTAGTCTCCCCCGCCATAATAGCAAATGTAGAATGGCAGACTTCTAAAGGCTTGCACCTGGCTAGTTAACTGATCTGCCAAGAAGAAATCCGGGAGTGTGACCTGTAAAGGAATTAAAACTTCTATTAGAACGTCCAACCGAGTTACATTTTACAGTTTTTAACTCGAATAATCAAGGTGTCTGCAGTGGAATTTTACCTTATAGAGAGGAGCACAGATGCAGTGGAACACACAAACCAGGAAGAAGTAGCGACTCGAGCGATATATGATGTTGAAGGGGCATAATAATATCACAATCACAAGCTGCATAAGAAGAATTTAGTTTCAGTATATAATCTCTAGATGTTTGATGAGCCAATGCAGCCGAAATTAAATAGTTCAACTGAAAATATGATCTTACCAGGAGCAAGAAGAGTGGGAGAAGCTCGGTTAGCGCTTTGTAATCATTGGTTTTCGGGTCCATCTCCATGTCAAGATTTGCGAGCACAGAGGCTAGTGCTAACATTGCCAGACCAGAACTCAGAAGGAGGACCTCTCTGTATCCCAACTCGGTTCCTTGCTTGAAACCGAATATGAAAGAGTAATTGACTCTGAACCGCCGCCAAAAGTATATATTTCCGGCATACATAAGCATGTGGAGAACTATGAATCCGAACAAGCTGCAACGAAGAATAACATGTCACGAAAAATTCAGTATTATCCCTTTTTTTCGGAAACTTAGAATGAATAGAAAAGCATAGGGTTAGTCACCTGTATAGAGGAAACATGTTTTCCATGTATTTACTTCTCTCCGGATTATCCATAATATTTCGAGCACGAATGATCAATACAAGGGCTAATATGAGGGCAGCTGTGCAGCCAGCAAAGCAACCTGAAGGTTTTTGAGTAAACAGATTCAGACGAAAGAAATTGATGCCGAAATTGTCGTTGTTCAGTGAAAGAAATTTTACCATACTTATTAAGCTAGAGACCTTACCCAGAGCGAATGTTGTCCGATGTCTTTCTACCCTCGGTTTTGGTCTCAAGACCGCCATTCCTTTTCGGCGATTGGAGTTCGAGAAATGCTTGATGAACGTAGTTTCAACCCTTTCCATAAGCTTGGTAATCTGCAGTAGTGGCAAATGCCATGAAGAAATTAAAACTATGAACAGAAAAATCTTTCCTCTCTTTAGCGTCACGCATGAAGAATCCTCACCTCGTCGGAGCTGCCAAGGTACGAGTTATCCACCATGTTCATGTAAGATTTTGATGCATCTCTTGAAGCCACCTTATCGTATTTCTTCATGATCTTTGAGAAAGCCAACGTATTCAAAAATCTGTTTCATTCGCGGATAACAAAGTTAGCTTCACAGTCAAGAAAACAGAAGGAAAACCAACCAAATTAGGTGCCCCAAAGTCGTTATATCTTTACCCGTAGCTCTTCAGAAGCCGAAGTTTCTGGTAAAATTCAATGAAAGCGCGCCTGAGCTGTTGTTCAACTTTGCTGAGATTAGCCCTGCTGAACTTGAGCTCCGTATGTGGAGCCACGTTGAGGAAGCCTTTGATGGTGGAACGCGGCGTCTCAGCCATGTGATTCATTGTCACCTGGTCCAGTATATCCAGTGGCGTAGGCCTAGTGCCTCTCAAGCTCTCCGGCTTCTTCACCTTCATCTCAACGTCTCCACTCCTTTTGTCTTCTTTTTCTTCGTCACCCGAACTGTTTAATCCGCTCTCTTCAATCGCATCCATAGCCAGTACCCGCCCTGCTCGCAAATCGCAATGTTAAACGACGCAATTTTAGACGTAAACACAATATTAGCAATTACTGCTTCCAATTTTCAATAAAATTTCTAACATGTTTTTAAGCACTTCTAGCAGAAGTGCTTATGAGTATACTTACTGCTTGCTCTGGCACTGCGTGGGGTGGCTGCAGCCAATGCAGCTGTAGACGTGGCAACATCGGAAGCAAGGCGAGTCATCTCCCCTGACCAATCAAACGTTCTCTGAGGGTTCTCCACTTTGATCCGAAACGCAATCAAAGCGTCCATTTGCTTGTTAAGAACCGCAGCTTCCTTCATCACCTCGTCAACCTTCGACCTATAAAACTTGTCCACTTTATTGAACTCGTCGTCAAGCCTCTTGAAGTACTCCAGCTCCTGAACTCCGCCTTCCTCCGCCGCCATCAGAAACATCGTCTGGTAGCTCTTAGAGCCGTTTTCGTTGACGGAATTGACAAGAATGGCCTGGCTCTCAATGTCGGAGGTGGAAGAAGGGCTGGCGGGCTGCTGGGTGTGCCTACTTTTGGTCAGACCGCTGAAGGCTCTGTACAACGTGAGCCTGCGCTTTAGGCCGTAGCTGCGGGGCGAGGCGGCGGCCTGTGGGTCGGGGTTGTTTCTTTGCTTGCAGACTTGAATTTCTTTTAAGAGGGATTTTAGATAGTCGTAATCCATGTATGCGTCTTTCCATTCCGGCACCATTTGTGCAGAAAATTCCTTCCCGAACTTCATTTCTGGAAATCAAGTTTAAATTTAGTTTTCAGTTTTCGGTTTTACTGTCTAAAACAGATAGGATTCAGATTGATGCTTAACTATCTTTCTACGTACATACACACACACACACATATATATATATATCTATATAAATATATGCATATATATGGAAATTAGGTTTCAAAATCCGAGTGAGTTTCAAAATCTGAGTGAGTCAAACGTATTTTTTTTTTGGTCAAGGAGGACTTATATAACAAAGTCCAAACGGACACAGTACAAAGACAACAACCTCATAACTGAGGGAGGTACAAAAGAGACGTCACATATGCATTGATCGCATGAGTAAAGGTTCTCAATTATACCTAATAAACGTATTAAGGATAGTGATTAGTTGTAATTGGACAGTTAGTTTGTTATTGAATAGTTATAGGTTAGTTTTGATGAGCTGTCAAATGTAGCTCTTTGTATAAATACCAAATGTACTCTGACTATTCAACTCAATGAGAATACTTTTCTAATAAAACGCACGTGAGAAGCTTCTGAGTCCATCTGGGCAGGCATGCATGATTGATGAGAAGAGGACAAATGGGGCCCAAAACAAAGTATGTTTCGCATTTCTCCAGGGAGTACTCGTAGCGGAAGCAGTCGCAGTTGACGACCAATTTTTCCATGAGAGGGTCGGAATTTACTATTTTCGTACAAAGAGCTTTTTTCCTTTTTCTTTGTTTATAATTTCTAAGTAGTTTTCACTCTCTAAAGCTCGTTCTTGGCCAGAATTAATTAATACTAATTAATACTCAATACTTGTATTTACCTTATTTATATGTGATTAACGTAGTTTTACTATGGCCTAATTGAAAGTATTCATTTATTAATCATCACAAGATTGTATTTTGCAATAGCTTCAATCAAGTAGAAGATCGTGTAGTTATTCATAACATTAAATAAATGGACGTGCAAATATTACTTGGTATCAAAACTATCTATTTGTTTTATACATGGATTATGTATAATTTAACTATTTTTTGCAAAAATAATTTCTAAATAGTCAGTTTTTAAGAAAATGAGCAATTATTATAGTAAGTTTGTACTCTAAAACCACGTCAATTACAACTTATTGAAGATGAGGTACTCCCATGAGGTATGTCCTCGAGTCCTGACCAAGTGGTACACCATTTTTTGCAACTTACATTATTACTAAGGATATACGGTTCTCACTAGCCAGATTGAAAGAATTTACATGCAACTAAATGTCTAAATGATAGTATTACAAACTAATTACACGACGACATCTTGTTTTGCCTCTTTTCGTCTTTCACTTTCAAGTTTTCAACAGACCAATTTCTTGATGAGCAATGCCAGACCCAATTGTCCAGATTATAATCGTAACTCTAATACTTGGGCTCAAGGCAAATATAATAGTTGATGATTTAATTTAATCACAAGTTGATAATCTTCTTAGCAAGAAATCGTACGGTGAATCGTATTCAACCACGACCGCTACAAAGTCAAAGTACCCAAGAAAAAGTACATAAAAATGATTAATTAATTAAATATATTCATGATGCATTTCAATTCGGTCATCGTACATAAAAAAAAATTTATAATAATTTATGACCGTACGATGTACGATAAACAGATGTGATTTGAGGATTCTCAAAATCCTCACAAAAAAGATCCGGCAAGGATGCTAACTTTTTCATTTTCACACAGCACCTGAAAGAAATAGTAGTGTGGTCCTCAGTGGCGAAGCCAGGATTTCTCGGGGGGAGGGGCGAACTTAAAGAATGCAAGGTTAAAGAAAAATGGCAACAACTAAATATTTTTATATAGTAATGTCTTCCATAATTAATTAATACAAACAAATTACAATTGTTGCCGGCGATGTTTCATGTCATGAAAACGTCGCATAATAGGCTTATTATCAATAAAAGCAAATACATCTTTCTCAATGTAAACAAGCATGCTATCACTCAACCATTGATCTCCCATTTTGTTACGCAATGATGTTTTCACAATCTTCATGGCAGAAAAAGCTCTCTCCACCAAAGCGGTTGCAACCGGTAACACCAAAGCCAATGTAAGAAGTTTATACACTAACATATAGCTTTCACACCTTCCGGTCTTCACTAACTCTTTTGCAAGATCACTAATTCCTCTCAATGATGAAAACTCACTATGCATCTTCATATCATGAATGTAATCTTCATATCATGAATGTAATTATCAAGTTGAATTGGAAGATTCATAAGGTCCATACGATCAAAATCTTGAGGATAAAGTTGGGCTAAACGAACAATTTTTGCTTTGTCAAAAGATGCAAAATTATTCACCGGACTCAAACATGCCATACAAAGAAGTAACTCGGTGTTTACCTCATTGAAGCGATCATTCAACTCCTTTAGTTGCATATCAAGGACTTGAAAATAGAGGTTCACACGATAGTAATGGAAGTTTGTGATTTTTTGAGCTTTACGCCTTGATTTTCCAGGTACGAAATGCAAATCCTCCATGTTAGGAACGATAATATCATGCTCCTCACAAAACTTTTCTACATCTTGAAGCAAGTCTCCAAAGTCATCATCTCTCAAGGATTGTAGTCTTTGCTTGCATACTTCCACTAATGCCATCGCATTCACAATATCTTGATCTTTCTTTTGCAATGCTTGTGATAACTCATTTGTAATTCCCAATATAAGTCTCATCAAGAAAAGGTGAAATGCAAAATCAAATGTTTGTATGTCTTTGAATAACCTAGTTGCTTCACCGAGATTATCTTGGTTGCGATCACTTTTTATCCATTCAACCACCTCCACCACGGCTTCAAACATAACAATAATACTAACTATAGTACCATAATGCGAGTTCCACCGTGTATCACATGGACGCATGAGACTCATTTCTTGATTTAACCCTTTACCCGTTTCAAGATTACCAAGATTAAGAGCTTTCTGAATTTGTGCTTGTTGTTTCTTTCTAAATGCATCACGACGCTTACACGATGATCCAATAAGATTCACCAAACTACTAGCATTGATGAAGAAATTGGCAACATCCTCATTTTCCTTTGCCACAAATACAAGAGCTAGTTGGAGTTGGTGTGCAAAGCAATGAATATAAAATGCTTGAGGGTATTTGTTCAAAATCTTTGTTTTAAGACCGTTTAACTCACCTTTCATATTGCTAGCTCCATCATAGCCTTGTCCTCGTAACTTGGACATACTCAAATTTGCTGTAGCAAACAATCTCTCAATGGCCTCTTCAAGAGAGCTATTAGTTGTAGAGGAGACATGTTGAACACCCAAAAACTTTTCAATTGCTTCTCCTTTTTTGTTCACATAACGCAATACCACCGCCATTTGCTCTTTAGTTGAAGAATCACGTGCTCCATCAACCAAAAGAGAAAAAAATGCACCTTCCATATCTTTAGTGATTGCATCTACAGTTTCAATGGCACAAGCACGGACAAGATCTTTTTGAATATCGGAAGAAGTATACTTAAGATTCTTGGGAGCATTCTCAAACACAACCTTCCTAACTTGTTCATTATGCTTGGAAAGAAACTGCATAAGCTCCAAATAATTGCCCCTATTGCTTGATTTCAACGATTCATCGTGGCCACGAAAAGGCAAACCTTGTCCCAACAACCATCTTGTGCACTCAAGTGAGGCACTCAATAAAGTACGATAATTAATGCGAGCTTCATCAGTTTGCTTAATCACAAATGTTTCAATGTGTTGTTTTTGTGTCATCAAATCTCTAGCTTGTTGTACAGCTTTATTATGAAGACTTCCAACACCTCCCTCATGGACTCGAAGATTTTCGGGTCCTTTCTTCCAATTTGTAAACCCTATCTCAGTGAAGACATCACTTCCACTGCTACCCATTTGATCAAAATCACATTTGAAAAGATAACAATAACGGCAAAATGCAGCATTTTTTGATATACTATACTCCAACCACTTAAACTTATCAAACCAACGAATGATAAAACATCGATTGTCACTAACCTTTCTTGGCATGATGTGGTCTCTAGGTTGACAAGGATCAATTTGGAGATAGTGTCTACGAATTGCTTCACGATAATTAGGTGGATAATCAATCATTCGACGTCTATGTGCAGGGTCTGCAGGAAGATTAGCCAATATTTCATCCAAATCCAACTCAGTGGCTTCACTTTGTTGTGACCTACTTGGAATATTTGAAGGAGGACTTCTTGGAATATTTGAAGGAGGAGGAGGAGGACTACTCGGAATATTTGAAGGAGAAGGACCACCCGAAATGTTTGAATGAGGATTTAAGCATTGTTTCTTATAGTATCGTTCCATTACGTAACTGTAAAATGGAAAGAAATAAAAATTCTTAGACTCTTAATCCTAAAGTAGACTATACTATTACTATAGTATGTATAATAACTAATCCAACCAACCAACAATTCAATTAATCAAAAGTACTAATAACCAATAACCATATTCGTATCAATTGGGTTAAATTTGTATCATAGAATCATAGAAGCATATCAAAAATTTGTATCAATAATTCGTATCAATTGGGTTAAATTTCTAATTCCCAATTCGTATCAATAATTTCACCCTAAAAAATAATTTCATAATTTCATATCAATAATCATAAAAGCATATGATTCACATCAATAATCAATAACCAATAACCATATTAATGCATTACCATATAATTTTATACCAATTAAATGAAATTTGTATTGAATAATTAATTAGGTTAGGGATTATACATTTAAGAATTAAAAAATTAACCTTTAGATTGGTGAAGAACGGCACGGAAGGACGGAAATTAAAGCTCATGTGTGTGTTGATTGGTAAAGGCACGTTGGCTTGGCTGGCTACTGGGATGTTGGGGAGCAGAAATTAAAGCTCCTGTGTTGATTGGTGAAGAACGGCACGGAAGGAAACAAAAGTAAAGGGAACGGGTTGGGTGGGGGAATAGACTGACTAACTAGGGTTTTTGGGCGACACGCGGAAGCGGTCCCCATTTGTATTTTTTTTTTAATTCAAACATACAAAACGGCGCCGTTTTGTATAACAATTTTTAAATTTTTTTTACCAGGCCCAAAACGACGTCGTTTTGGCCTGGTTTAAAAAAAAAATTAAACTGCAATCTGCAGATTGCAGATTGCCCAGAAAAACAGAGGAGCTGAACCAGGGATTTCCGGCGAGGCGCGCGCGAGGGGAGGGGCGAAGAGCTGGGTCCAGTGGTGTTTCCCGGCGAGGGGAGTGGCGGCCGCCACTCCTCGCCCTCACGTGGCTTCGCCACTGGTGGTCCTGCCTACCACGATAATAAATTGACTACTCAAACTGGATTGGCTGGCATCATATGAAAACGTTTTCTTTGTCAAAACTGTTTCGATTACGTTTTAAGAATATCACTTAGAGCAATTTCACCCTTAAGTAGACCTGACATTCGTGTCGTATTTTCCGTGTTCGTGTCGGTTTCGTGTTATACCCGATATCTTAACGGATCGTATCGTGTAACACCCGTTAAAATAAACGGGTAAAATGACCCGACCCGATAATATTAACAGGTAATATGACCCGACCCGTTACCCGTTAAGGAAAATATATTTTAAACCAATAAATAATCAAATGAAAAACATAATACTAAATAAGTATATACATATCATATTGTCACATCCAAAACATAAAACACATTTTTCTTTTAAGTATATTTTCACTTACCTAAAGTCTTTAATAGTTTTTTAATTAATGTATAAGTGTAAAAGAAAAAATATAGAAAAAATTTATAAACGCTCGTAATGACAAGCTTTACAACTTTCATGAAGAACTTAACTTCGAAATTCGCCACTATAATCATATAAATCATAGATCAAAATTTAACCGTTGATTGTTGTTTACATTTATGCTTCATTGTTCTCATCAAATTTTGTTTTTTTTTCAGATTTTCTTTTTTGAAAACTTGATCTATTAGAGGATGCAGGAAGATGAACGGTTTGGATCGTTGATATTATATTTAGAGTTTTACAGTTAGTGAAAATATTGCTTGATGTTTATAAAGTTTCTACAAACTATGACATCGACTCATATTTCAGTTAACCGTAAATATCGAAACGTGATATCAAAGATCTGAACCGTTCATCTTCTTACATCCGCCATATGATCATGTTTTCAAAAAAGAAAATTTTAAAAATGAAATTCAGTAAGAAAAATAAAGAGTAAATGACAATCGACGGTTAAATATAAATTTAAGGTTTATGAATTATAGTGTTGGATTTCGAAGTTGACCCCTTCATGAAAGTTGTAAAGTTTGTCACTATGCGTGATTGTATTTATTTTTTTACATTTTTTACACTTCTACAATAATTATTATTAATTTTATTAATTTTCCCTCAAATAAAAAACATTATTCATGAAGGTTTGGAGGATTTTAAAAATCTAAACGATAATGTAAGTGTAACCATTATCTAATCGTGGAGGAATAATGATGAATCACGAGTGTTTATATATTCTTTCACATTTTTCATACTTGTATGTATGTCTTCTTAGTTCTTGCCTATACAAATACAATATTAGTTTATTTTAATTTTGGACAACAATATGTTAAGTAAAATTTATCCTAGTAATGATAATAAGGTGTTGATGCACAAAACCGGAGGTCTTGAAACAACGTAAATCCGACCGTGAATATGCAAGTAATGTAAATAACACAAGATGTATCGTGGTTCACCCCAAGGTTTGGACTACGTCCACACTGATTATGTATTTATCTGAGATGTGAGGGGAGTGAGGGAGAGAGATTCAGAGCCTTTGAGGGAGAGAGTGAGGTCTCTGATGGCCTAGGAATTGGCCTCCCCTAATTATGAGGGTGAGGGGTCCTTTTATAGAATAAGGACTCCTCACTTATTACATATTTGTCCCTTTCTTTATTACATAATTACATTCAAGTCCCCCGAGTATTTGTACGAGATCTAAATACAGAGGCCCTAAGTATGGTATAAACAGTAGTCCCCCAAGTCTTCAGTCAAGAGAGTCTTTTGGCTGGAGACTTGAAATTCAGTCCATGTGTGGGCCGAAGTAACTAGATGTTGTCTTGAACTGATGTTCGATATGAGGCGGTGCTCAATCTGAAATGATGCTCAACTAGAAGTAGCACATGCTATGAGGCTGCTCGGCTCGTGGTTTATGTTGCCTTGGTTGGCTCGACTTGTGGCATTTAAAGGTGAGGGAGTCCCTTTTATAGAATAAGGGCTCGCTCCTCAATACATAAGTAATGGGCTAAGAGTTGATGCTCGCGTCGAGGCGGTTGCTCAGCTGGCAGCGATGCTCTTCTAATGATGGTGAGGGAGTCCCTTTTATAAAATAAGGGCTCGCTCCTCTATACATGAATAATGTGCTAGAATTAATGCTCGCGGCGAGGCGGTTGCTCAGCTGGCGGTGATGCTCTCTAATGATGGTGAGGGAGTCCCTTTTATAAAATAAGGGCTTGCTCCTCAATACATGGATAATGTGCTAGAGTTAATGCTCGCGGCGATGTGGTTGCTCAACTGGGGCAATGCTCTTTAATGATGGTGAAGGAGTCCCTTTTATAAAATAAAGGCTCGCTCCTCAATACATAAATAATGGGCTAAGTCCCCCAAGTATTTTTCATGAGGCCCAATATATGGTACATAATGTAGTCCCCCAAGTCTTCGGTCAATAGAGTCTGTTGGCTAGAGACTTCAAATTGAATTCATGTATGAGCCGAAGTGGCGGTTGTTCGAATGCGGTATTTGTATACCCTGTACTAAAGCTTTGTAGGTGAAGCTTTGCAAGTGAAGCTTTGAAGCTGGAGCTCTGTAAATGAAACTTTTGAAGCTAGAGCTTTTGTAAATGAAGTTTTTGAAGCTAGAGTTCTGTAAATGAAGCTTTTGAAGCTAGAGCTTTGTAAATGAAGCTTTCGAAACTAGAGCTTTGTAAATGAAGCTTTCGAAGCTAGAGCTCTGTAAATGAAGCTTTTGAAGCTGATTGACATGAGTGATGCTCATGAATGTTTATGTTGATTGACATGAGTGATGTTCATGGATGTTGTCATGAGTGATGCTCATAAATGTTGACATGAGTGATGCTCATGAATGTTTATGTATGATTGATATGAGTGATGCTCATGAATGTTTATGTATGATTGACATGAGTAGTGTTCATGCTCATGAAGATGAGTTCCTTCTTCACCTGGTTGGTGGTATGAGTGGCAAGTTGCCAAATGATATTAAAGTACGGGTTGTACATTTCATCACCTGGTTGGTGGCATGAATGGCTAGTTGCCAAATGATATTAGAGTACGAGTTATACATTTCATCACCTGGTTGGTGGCATGAATGGCTAGTTGCCAAATGATATTAGAGTACGGGTTGTATATTTCATCACCTGGTTGGTGGTAATAGTGGCAGGTTGCCGAATAATTTTGGAGTACTGGGCGTACTTTTGATCACCTGGTTGGTGGTAATAGCGGCAGGTTGCTGAATAATTGTGGAGTACTGGGCGTACTTTTGGTCACTTGGTTGGTGATAATAAAGGGTCTGGCTCTTTTAGGCATATGGGCATTCGCCCTCCACATAACATTGCAGCCCATTATTTTGGGGTTGCCCTTTTTTTTTTTTAATTACCCTCTGATGGGGTTTATACAGATGTCTCCGAAAGATACAAAATAAATTACATCTTTCAAAAATAAATCTGACCATCTGCTCAATGGGTCACGCCCATAATGCCATCACCACCGCAATTATCTTCTTTTGCTTTTACTTTCTCTTTTATGCTTTCTGAAATATTCTCCTAACGACGCCATCTTTTTTCTTTTTCTTTTCTATTCCTTTACCTGATCTCTCCACCTCCAGACACACTTACTTGCTTTTGCTTTTACTTTCCCTTTCCTGCTTTGCTTTTGCTTTTGTTGGAGTGATGGGCCTTTCTTTTTCTTTGCTTGGTGGTTGAGCTGGCAGGGATTGCGTCCGAGCATGGTAAGAGTTCAAAGTCGAAGAGCATGATGTGATCGTCCAATCTGACCAGCACGTTCTCAAGTTTTAAGTCCCTATAGATGATTCTCAGCATGTGGAGGTATTCCAATGCCACCAGGACCTCTGCACCGTAGAACCTTGCGGAGTTGAGGGAGAAGCGTTCGTGAGACTGAATGTGGCGGAGGGAGTGGAGGTCACCGCCGGGGCAGTACTCCATGACGATGCAGGAGAAATGCGAGGCTTCGAACTAGGCGTAGAGAGTGGGCAAGAACAGGCGGTCAAGCATTTTAAGGATCTTCCTCTCCATCTCGGTTCTCTGCACCTTCTTCTTCATCGCCAGAGCCTCCTTGTCGACGATTTTCATGGTGTAAAGGCACGAGGAGGACGAAGACTCGGTATCCTGATCGATATGTTCACCAAATACTCTCCTGCAACATAGATTAAACGGTCTTTCGCTATAGGACTCGTAGCGTGTAGTCCTGAACCTTTTCTGCCGAAATGGTTGGTCACACGGTGATGTGGGCGTTGCTTACGCGTTGCCAATGAGACTCTGCCGGATTGTACAACGGAGATGATGGTGAATCACGGTGGATCAATTCGAGGCTAAAGCCGATTCCGTGGTGATGGTCATCATCTTCTTCTCCTCCTTGACTGAAACGGAGTCTTGAGCTGGACTGGAGATCTCAACTCCTCAGAATTTTGACGATGGCGACGTGGCAGGAAGGCATCGATTGGCGTACCCATTGTGATGGTGATCATCTCCTTCAACCTTCTTCATTGCCTGATCTTTCATGTTAGAGCGAGAGAGCTAGATCTATATGAGATAAGGTATCAGAGAATATATATGAATACAAATCAGTTGGCTCCCAATCCCATCGACTCTGAAAACGGGCTAATCCTGCTGAAAACGCCATAGGAGGTCACTGCTAAGCTGGACCTTAAAGCGATTTTGGTAGATATGTTCACGTGCAGCTTCAACTTCTGCTCGTTCCTCCTCGGTACCTGTATCTGAGTTGAATTCAATCAACAACGGCTCGATGGGCACAAGCTTCCCTTTGAAGAACAAGTCGTCGGAGGGAGAGAGAGTCAGATTCGGGTCGTCAGTACGGTTCTGGCTCGACCCGGAAGAGACAGTGAAGTTGGACTGGGCGTACTCAGATGGCAGGTCCACCATCACCTTCTCCTCCAGGCCCGTCCCCTGCTCCGCCACCAGCGCCACTAGCGGCTTCACAGCTCCAGTGCTCACCGCCCTCTCTTTGTTGGGCTTTCGAAAGCTGGAGAAAAAGACTGACTGAAATGATCTCGGTCGACGCAGATCTTCAGCCGACGCAGATCTTCTCCGGAGAAAGAGACTCACCACCCTCTCTTTGTTGGGCTTTCGAAAACTTTGAAGTTGTGCTTTTCGAAGTTGGAGAAAGAGACTGACTGAGAGAGGAGAAAGAGACTGACTTTTTTTTTGTTTTGGTCTCTGCGTATGACTGACCGAGAGAGGAGAAAGAGAGAGATTTGGTTTTTTGGATTTTTTTGATTTTGCAGACTCACGGTGGTGGTATGAAAAATTGAGAGAGAACCGACATAACTTTTCGTATCGATTCCCACAGACGGCGCCAAATGTTGATGCACAAAACCGGAGGTCTTGGAACAACGTAAATCCGACCGTGAATCTGCAAGTAATGTAAATAACACAAGATGTATCATGGTTCACCCCAAGGTTTGGGCTACGTCCACATTGATTATGTATGTATCTGAGATGTGAGGGGAGTGAGGGAGAGAGTGAGGTCTCTGATGGCCTAGGAATTGGCCTCCCCTAATTGTGAGGGTGAGGAGTCCTTTTATAGAATAAGGACTCCTCACTTATTACATATTTGCCCCTTCCTTTATTACATAATTACATTTAAGTCCCCCGAGTATTTATACGAGATCTAAATACGGAGGCCCTAAGTATGGTATAAACATAAGGAACTCTCATAATAAAAATAAATAATGACTAAATTTTTTTTTAAACTTATATAGAATAATAATACAAAACTATAATTTTTTTCTTAATGGGTCGAAACAGGTTACCCACGTGTTACCCGCTTGTATACCCGTTAAGAACCCCGTTATTAACAGGTTCTTAACGGGTCACCCGATAATGACCCGATAAGTTATCGTGTTGACCCGAAACCTGTTATTTTCGTGTCGTTTTCGTGTCGTATCAGAAACTGACGGTCTACCTTAAGGTTGGATTTTGGAAAATTGAAGCACGTAAGGTAATGTGACGGGACTGCATGTAATGCCCACTACGTGTTTGTCTATTTTAGTCGGTGACTTTTGTTGTATGCACATATATCGAAACGGCATAGCTAATTGGATTGGGCGACTCTTTTGTTTCTTACTACTTCAAGACGAAGAAAGAGGAACTCAAATGTGTTGAATATATCATTCTAGCTCAACAATAGTTAGTTAGATAGTTGAGAATGTGGCTATATAAACTGTTGTCTCATAGTTGTAAATATTCATTCAATCAATACAATTCCTATTCTCTCTAAATACTCTCTCTCTAGAATATCTTTTGTTTCTCTCTGCCTTCTTCCTCTTTCTCTGTACAATTCCTTCTGGGTTCGAGACTGGCAGAAGATGAGAGAGACGCTAAATGCCATGTCGTATCTCCATGGTCACAGACGCTTTCACGGCGACATCAAGCTCGGAAACTTCTTGGTTGACTCTGATGGGTCTAAGATCGTCGATTTCGTGGTTCAGGTTTTGTTCTTGGCTCTGCACTCCATCTGTTTGCTTAAATGTTACAGTGACAATTTATTTCTCCGATGGGGTTTTCATATATGTCGGTTTCTCTATTAAGGCCGATAACCATTTTCTAAGAGTGTGTTGAAGGAATACAAAGGCCGATAGCCATTCCTTTCTGTTGTTTGATTTGTGCACTTGAAGGCCGATTGCCAAGAGTGTGTTGAATGCAAATTGTTTCCTCCATAAGGCCGATAGCCGGAGTGAAAAGTTCTTGTTCAGATATTGTGTGTTACTCCTTAAAGGCCGATAGCCGGAGTAACGTTCTTGAAAAGTTTTGTTTCTTGTTATTGTGTGCAACTCCATTAAGGCCGATTGCCGGAGTGCACTTCTTGTTCCCTTTCTTCATTAAAGGCCGATTGCCGAAGAGGGTTGTGTTTCTTGATTTCTGTGATTGTAAAGCTTGTTGTTTGATGACTGTGGATGCTGCTGAAGCATAGATTGTGTTGACTGATGAATGGGAGATTGTTGATTCTGTTGAAGACTAGATGGATGTGATTTCACCATAGAAGTGGAGATTGGACAAGTTTTGGGATATATCCATGCTGCTGCCACGGCTGTTGTGGAACTATCTGCTGCCACAGTTGGATATGATCTGACAGATGTAAACCTGAACCAGTTGGTTGAAAGGGTATTGGTAGCTACAACGGTGAATCAGTTTGAGGGGCTGAAATTCTTTGGGAAGTTGATTGATGAGTATGAAATAACACTGCTCTTGAGTAATTTTTTCAATGCTTGCAGCCATGGAGGATTAATTGATGATGGGAGCGGGGCTAGGAGTACATCGACAAGAAGGATTTCATTGTCCTGCAGCATTCATTCAATCTCAACCTGGGGATCCCAGTTGAGATTGAGGGGGGATGTTGAATATATCATTCTAGCTCAACAATAGTTAGTTAGATAGTTGAGAATGTGGCTATATAAACTGTTGTCTCATAGTTGTAAATATTCATTCAATCAATACAATTCCTATTCTCTCTAAATACTCTCTCTCTCTAGAATATCTTTTGTTTCTCTCTGCCTTCTTCCTCTTTCTCTGTACAATTCCTTAATCTTTGCAATGTAGTTAACAAAATGGCAGTTTCGAGGAGATGGGTCTCTGAGAAAGAAAAAAACCCCCATCTTTTGTTCTTCGTTAATTTCCATTTGGTTTAGTAAAACAGGGTAATCTACAGATAAATGCATAGTTGATTGCTCAAGCTTCTCATAACTTTTGTTGGTTTTGGTTTTTGGTTTTGGATATTGTTTTTCTCTAAGAAACCACCTATTATTTGCAGGGAATTGGAGTTCAGAACTTGGGGTAGCTGGAAGTTCTGAACTTTCATCAGTTTTATGTAACCATAAGCAATTACTTGCAACCCAACATCAAGATGAAATTCGGGAAAGATTTCAAGAAACAAATGGTGCCTGAGTGAGCAGAAGCCTACATGGATTACAATGGTCTCAAGAGGATACTAAGGGAGCTCAGAGAATACAAGCGAAACAAGCACTCCGTAACACCCTCCAAAGACTTTGAGCGGAGACGTTCTCCCCCTGGCAGAACCATCAGTGTGATTGAGCTACAATCTGGCAGTCTCCGGAGCAACGGAGATATCGAGGACCAAGTAATCGATGTCAACACATTGCACGGAGACGGTTGCAGAGAGGTTTACAACACCAAGTTTCTGAGGCAATCCGAAGAAGGAGGAGATATTGAGGTGACATTCTTCCGAAAACTCGATCAAGAGCTCAACATGTAAGCATATAAATCACTACATGTATAGAATCACATATATAGATGAACATGCATACATGAAGAAGATATACTTACCCGAAGAAGAACTCGCCATTTTGAATGGAAGGATGAAAGGATATCTTCTACACTCAACGGCCTGAAGTTCCAGCTTAGAATAGGGTTTAGCACGTAATGGAATAATAATACCGTGAGTGCAGGGATACTCCTTATATATAGCTAACAATACCAGGCCTATCAACTGATACCCGGATATTCCATATCAATTAGGGTTTTGCAGCAGTCCAACTTACTGCTGAACTCTTGTCAAGATCTTGATAAGGTTTATCACATATAGTTGCATGTCATTAGGACTCTCAACCTCATCCAAGTAATAGCGTAATCTTCTCAACAATAACTCATAACCGAATTACAAGTTGTTGAGAACCAGAAGTCATTCTCCTTGACACTCACAATCTTACATTCTCCCACTTGAGTGTCCAGAAGAATGATATTACATTGGTTGAGACTAAGGTGATCACTTAGTCCACAAAAGAACTGCAACAAAACCTTTAGCAACCTGTCACTCATGACTTGAATACTAGACCATAAACGCAGTATGTAATTCCTTCTACATGTGCAATTTATCATCACAGGCATTCAAACCATGAGCACTATGTTGTCTGACAAGATGTAATTATTTCAGGTTGATAAGCAAAATT